TAAAATATAATATTTTTTAAAAGAATATATAAAACTATTATATATATAATATAATTTCATATATTTTTATAATAAAACTATAATTTTATATAATTAAAATTTAAACTTAAAAATTATTACTATATAGTTTAGTTAATGACGAAACCAAAACTAGTTGGTGACGAAACCAAAATTTTTGGTAAAAAGAGTTTAGCCAGGTATCACTAACTATATGTATTCATTATAATAGATTATGATTAATGGAGCTGAATTGTAGTAATAGCAATTATGTATAATGAAACAGTATCAACTTATGAATGGATTTTGGAGTAAAACAATATGTGCTACTGAAGGTCTTCAATCTGTAATAATTTTTACAGATGCTGACTCAATTGCAATTAGTAATCAATATCCTAAAACAATAGTAAAACTAGCAATGGTTATGACTATTAACCAATTATGACTGGTCATGACTGTAACTGATATTGGTCAGTTAAGACTTCTGACTGACTATTTGACTGACTGTTTAACCGATAATGTTTTCTCAATGTTTTTATTAAGGCAATTAAAAAAATGTACGAATTTTTAATTATTTTAACAAAAAATGTTGCGAAAATATTTTTTATTAGTAACACAGGTCGAAAAGTGAAAAATCAGGCATCAATCAGTCACCAATTGGTGCCTGATTTTTCACTTTTCGACCTGTGTAATTTAATTAAAAAAAAGATATTTTTGCAACATTTTTTGCAACATTTTTTTAATTATATTTTTTATTAAAAAAAAAATTTTTTGCATGTTTTTTAATTGTTGTAAAAATGTTATCAGTCAAATGGTAAGTCAGGCGGTCGGTCAGAACAGTTGGTCAATCAAAGATTCTTGACTGATTATGACCAACCGATGACTGATCATGACCGACCATTGCTTTACTAAACATGCCCAATTTTTGAAATGATTTTGTAATAATTTTAAAATACTACAAAAATACATTTAATATATCAAAATGTTTTTATTATATATTTTTGCTATTATTTTGTAATTATATTGTATCTAGGTCTATAAAAATATTTCAAAAAATTAGCCATTTTTAGTAAAGGTGGCTGATCAGTTTAAAGTAAAAAGCTCTATTCACAACTGTTTCAAGGTTGTCACTTTCAGGCAGAGCTATACATGCTGTCCAAATTATTTTGGGATGTCATAATTATAATTTGGGATGCTGTAATTTTAGTTTATATATAATTTACTATGTAAAGTACCAAAATAATTTGGGATGTCATAATTGAATTTGGGATTTTACTTATAATTACGGCAGCCCAAAATAATTTGAGTGGCATGTATAGGCAGAGCTTTAAAAATGGTTTGTTTTAACAAGAAAGCCATAGTTTCAGAAATTTTCCTTCAAAATTCCTATGGGAAAAAATGGTTCATGTGATTAGTGAAAAGAATTCCTCCTCAATTATTATCATTAATAATAATTATAATATTAATTATACAAAAAGAATTTTTAATTGTTATACTTTAGCTATTATACTTTATATATATATATATTTTACTGGTAAATTTAAGTATAATAATTTTGTTTAATTGTAATAAATAATGTAAATCTAAAAATTTATCTGAATTCAAATTTATTATCAAAGTAGTTAAAAATTAACAGTTTTTGTTTGCATTAAATTTTATATAAATTTTTATCTTTAAATATAAAGATCACATGATAAATAATACAATAATAAGTTAATTAATAAAGTTAAACTGTTTTACTTAAATAATAATATTATAGTGTACAACAAAATTGCTATATATAAAAAAGTAATAAATAAATAAATATGTATGTATATATAAATTTTTTAACTAAAGAATGTTTGTTTAAAAAATTTTTTCACTTATGAAAAAAAGCTAACTTGTATAAAACATGAATTGTTTTTTTATTTTAAATTTAAAATAACAATCATAAAAACCATTAAATTAATAATGGCCATTATGATGATGATGATGCTTGTGAGGTGCACGTTCCAACTTGCTCACATCATGACGCCCGTCACAACATTGACGTACATTTTCCAAATCCTCATCATCGTCATCAATGTTACTATTTGAAGGTCCTGGTATGGCAAATTGTTGATGCTGACCATCTACAAATTCTGTTGAAAGTGGTGATGTAGGTGATGAAGATGATCCATCTCGGCGGAACATTGCTTGAATCTTACTGAAACTGGATTTTTTCTTAATTTCCCTGAGATTCGATCCTTTTAATGATCCATTTGGTGATGTATTGTTATGAAGGTTCTGCATATTTGCTTGATTCTCCCATGGATCCGATCCATTTTTTGCAATTCTTCCTGGAGTTTGACCTTGTCCTATTTGCCCCTGTCCTATTTGCCCCACTTCGTCAGGTCGTTGTAGTAAATAACTTAAAGCCTTAATAAATAAAATAACATTAGATTACTAATATTTAATATTCATAAAATTTAAAATAGTTAATAATATATAACAAACCTGAAACCAATATTCATGTCGTTCCTTAGATCGAGCAGTGAATTTTAACTCCCTTTCGGGTGTTTTAATAACCAAACTCATGTGGTGAAGACCCGGGGGTGAAGGATTATGATCAACAACTTGCCGCACCGATTCAATATATGCTAAAAAAATTTAAGAAATTATTTATTTGTATAATTAATTTAAAATAAAGAAATATACAAATTAATACTAATGTCAACATACCAAAATATGACATGCCGCCCTTAGATTTAGGATCTACTGGTTCATAACTTCCAGGATCTCTAATACTCCAATATAAGGTTTTTGTATAAGGATGAACCCAAAAGAATCGTTTATGTCGTTTCTCCGAAATTCCAGCACCGAAATTCTTTCTAGTGTATTTCCATAAATATTCACCTATCATTGTTTGGGTGATTGCATGGATGATATTTGGATCTGTGCCTGAGGGTCCAGTCATTGGCCCAGTCATTGGTCCAGTCATTGGTCCAGTACTGCTACCAGCTTCAACGTGGGATGTGTCAGAACGACCTACTTGTTCAGCTGAAGTAGAAGTGCTACTAACAGTTGACACTGAATCTGAACTTAGTGTATGTTGATGATTTGATCTTCCATTTCCTATAACATTTTGTATATCTTGCGAATCTGTAGATCCTTTTCTACCAACATTTAATGGATGATGAGGAATTTTCGGTGATCCAGCTTGTTGACCGAAATTTACGGTGGGAGGATGCATGAGGGTTGGTGGTGGACTATTTGTTGGTCTTGGCGGAGGATCTGAATGTCCTTGTTGACTTTGTTGACTTTGTTGATTTTGTTGATGTTGATTTTGTTGACTTTGTTGACTTTGTAAATTTTTCCGATTACCTGAACTTAAATCGAGTGTAAATCGATTTTCAATGTTGTTGTCTTCATTGTCTTCATGAACTGAAGCAACAGATTGACGAGTGTTTGAAATGTCTTTAGATTCACGTGACGCATCATAAACAACAGTATCTCGGTTACCGAATGTAAACTTGCCAGTATGAATTGTGGAAAGTGAATCACTTCTTCCTGCCTCTGTTTGTACTGCCACATCTCTAAATTCCTTGCTGGGAACAACCTCTTCAGGAATATTTTTAGTGAGTGAATCTGATAATAATAGTGTTGAAGATTCTCTATTGGATCCGCGTTTTGAATTTCTTTTTGATGTGGCAGATCCTCTTTTAGAATCTAAATTAGTCTCATTAGCAGATGTAAATGAATCTACCGAAGACGCATCATCTTTAATTTCTTCTTCCTCGCCGGTTTCAGGATTAATAAGTTTACTATTTTTTCTATTAACAATATCTTCGTATTCGCTGACACGTTTACGTACAACTGAATCCCTTACAGATTTAGCATCACCTGTAAAATCGAAAGATTCAGGATCTTCGACCAACGATTGCTTAGACGATCGAGATGAACTTCTCTTAGGTTTGGTTAAATTATTAAGAGCTTCAGCTCTCTGTGCAGCGACTACTTCATCATCTTCTATTTCATCATATTCATCACCAGGAATATCTTCATCAATCCTACTTGACATTATAGAACTTCGAGTTGAGTTCCTACTTTTTCTCAAAAGATCAGGTTTCCATCCATGAGGTCTAAACATATCCGACGAAGGACGATTATCTTTATTGATAACCATATCATCATCACCAGAATCTTCATTTTCATCCTGTGAATCGTTTTCGTCAATATTAGGTAATCCATTACTTGCCGCAGACAATCTCTTTGATCGTTTACTCTTCTTAACTTTCTTGTTGTAAACTGCAGCAGGGTCAAATTCTGTCTCATAGCGCATTGCTTCAATTTGTTCTTGACTATCTGCTAAAAGTTTCTTAAGTTCATATTTTTCACTTTTTTCCTTTTGAAGATTTGCGCGAAGACTACCGATCATGTCTTTAGCAATTCCTAGAGCCTTCAAAGTTTCTTCTTTATTCAAATTCTTGCCTTGTAAAGCAGTTGGTATACCTTCGCTACTAGTATCATTATCACTGGGAATTGGTTGACCAAGTTCATCATCATTAGGACCTGCGCCTGGTTCGGGCGTTCGTTTTCTTATGTTTCTGGTTGCTTGTAATGATGCCAATTGAGCTCTCAATTCTTCAAGATTTTTCAATAGATCATTCTTTTCTCGATTAAGCGCAGCAACGTGTCTTCTGTTATTAGCCATATCTTGGTCATGACGAGTCTTTAAACTATGATAGTCTGTTGTCAACCTTTCTTCTTTATCTTTAAGTTGATCAATAACATCAGTTGCAGTCGCGAGAGCCTTTTCGATTTTTGAATAATCATTACGTGTTTTATTTAATTGTTGCCGAAGTTCCTCTAATTCTGCACTCATTTCTTGCCTCATTAATTCAAGATTCCAATTTTCGTCTTTGTACCGTTCTAATGTAGTGATAATATGTAATGATTAATAAAATAATAATTTAAATAAGAAAAAAACAATCAAAAATTTCGGATAAAATATTGTAAATACCTTCAGATTCTTCCTTTCCTCGAATTTGCTTGTTGAGTACATCGATCATACGTTCCAGTTCTGCTTTGTCAATTTCAAGTTCTTTTATTTTTTCTTCTTTTTCTTGAAGTAATGCTTGTAAACGTCGAATCTCCACTAATAGACCCTGTCCTATTTCGGTGGCAAGTTCAATATCATCTTTACGTTTTTTCGCTTTGTTTAATTCACGTCTATTTGGACGTCCTGTTGTAGTTGTTGTGGGTGTTGAATCTGCTATTGATGTAGCAGAAGGACCAGGAGATCCAGTAGATCCGGCTAAATCTGTTCCACCCTGTATAAACCGAATAAAATAAGTAAAAACGATGTTATAGCAATTTCACACTAGAAAAATTGTGTTTTTTGTTGAAAATACATTAGGTAAACTTAGATAAGAAACATGCACTATCACATATATAAATTTACCTGACATTAATAAATAACATTTGTTTATAATGATCAACTAATGTAAATACATCTTAGCTATTTTATGAAAAAAATTTATGAAATTATTCCTTACCGAAGTAAGTCCTTTAGTACCAAGGAAGACTTTGGCTGTATTTGCTTCAAGAGCATTAGCTTGTTTTTCTAATTCGGCCAATTTATCTTTAAGTTCTTGAGGAACTTCATCGCCTTGAGTTTGATCAAGTTCTCGTATTCGTTGTTCCAGTTCTGTTTGTTGCTTTACTAGTGCTTGTCCTAATTCGGCAGTCATTTGGATTTGGTTTGATTTTTCATTTAGTTGGTCTTGTAATTGTTTTTTTATTGCCGCCGGTGTCTGCATGTATATAGACCGTCGTGGAGTTGATGGAGAAGACACCACGATATCAGGTCCCAGCCCTTCGTAAGTTGACATTCTAATTGGGGTAGATGCGATTGAATTTTCGCTGCTTTCTATAGAATCTGCCATTTTTTTTGTTCTATGGTTTATAGTAAGTAAAAATTATATAATATATATGGAAAACTGCATATGCAGATAAAAGCTAGGATCCTATGATTATGATAGGTAAAATATTATTTTACAAAACAAAAAAAAAATATAGTATATGTAAAGTATGTAAAGTAAATATTTCTTAAAAAAACTACAATATGCAGATAAAGTTAGGATCCTATGATTTATAAAGGGTAAAATAAAAATTCCACAAAAAAGAGTATAATAGATGTAAAGTAAATATTTTCTTTTAAAATAACTGCAAATAAGCAGATAAAAGCTAGGATCAATATTATTCAACCAAGTTCAACATGGTGGGGATACGGAGAAAAGGAGTTGCAACAACGCTTGCTAACTTATCGAGCAGCAAAGCGAGGGCAGGTGTAAGAATAAGGTATATGGGTATTAATATTGAACACTCTACCTAAAATATTTCTTAGTGGCTTTTTTTCTCAAAGAAAGTGTAGTCAATAAGCTTATTATTAATCTCTATAATTATAAAGGATGTAAGCAAAAACTTTTCTATACAGAGAAAATAAAATGTAAAACTTTTTTCAAAAAATTTCTTTGCAAAGAAAATAAATATTTAATATAGCTTTCAAGAAAATTCTTTGCAAAGAAAAATAAAAGTAATTAGATATATTTATAAAAGGAAAGAAGAAAAAGCTGACTATATAATTTGAGTACGTCGTTTTTTTTTGGTAGGAAAGAAAAAAAGGATCACAAAAGCCAAATATATATATGTAGAAGTAGCGCTATGTGATTTGTGAGAAGCGAAGTGTAACCTATAAATTTGATTTCAATTTTTCACCACATGAGAAAAACGCAACATGTTTTTTACTGTATTAATTTTCAGTGAAAAATGTAACGTCATATGCAAACCTAAGCTATATTATGATCTACAAACATTATTGCTTTTTATAATTATTATAAATTGTACGTAAATTAGGTATTTCGAAAAAAACGTATTTTTTTTTCTTACAAATATGTACAATATGACAAAATCTGACAAATTTGTTCTTTTTTTTCTTAAAAAAAAAGAAGGGAAAAAAAGTTAAATTATCGGAAAAAGTTATGATTAGTTGGAAATTTATTTTTTTTTGTGATATGTTATTAACAAATCGATTTCACCAATCAATAACAAGATATAAATTATAAAAAGGCCAGATTTACATATTTATAATTGTAACTTTTCATTTCGTTCCCTTTTACAAATAATGAGTACAACAAAATTAGCCTCTCTACTTGTTCGCACAATATCAAAACCAATTGCAAATAGTATTAAAGTAACTAAATAACTTTTACATTTATCAATTTGTTTTGAGTTTATGTCTTAAAGTTTTTTATTAAAAAACAGAATTATAGTAAAAGTCATCCGGCTTTTCGACAAATATGTATTAATGTTGCGCAGGCAACCCGCCGGTTTGAAATTAAACTTGACATGAACCTATTGGGACAAAAAACTGAGAAAATTCGTCCTCTAAATGATGCAAAGTAATTTGTTCATAGTAGAATTTAAAATGATATTTTATTTGATTAATTTACAACCTTTTAAATCTAGGGCTGTGGAAATGGGTGCTAACTTTTTAGGCGAGGCAATCATTTTTGGAGTTGCAAGTAGTTTGATCATATGGGAACAAGCTAGGTATATAATAAGCATATTTTAAATATTTTAATTTAATCTAAATTGATTATAATTAATAATAATTATTTTTTCTAGATCTTATAAAAGTTCCAAAGATCGTCAACATCAATTGGATGATAAAATAGAAATGTTGAAAGATGAAATATCAAAATTAAAAGAATCTGAGGATCAAATGATGAATCAAATTGTAAAATTGAAAAACGACTATGAAAAATTGAATAATGATTATGAAAAGTTACGAAATCTTTTAGATTTCATTTTGACCAAAAGAATGCACAATTTAAACATTCCTAAGATACAACGGGAAAGTAAAAATGATGATAAAAATCAAGACGTATAAAACTTTGAAACAGTTGTACAACCGTGGCGTGATTTTCGAACCTTCCAGAATAAAGCACACATTTAATAAATTCAAAAACTAAATTTGCGTCTCTGTTTTATAAGGAAAATAAGTTTTACATTAATAATACTAGAAACCGATCTATTCTATAAGAAAATGGTTGAACAAATACTGTATTGTTATTGTCTCACATTCTTAAACAAAGAACATATTTTATTTTTTTATTTATAGTAAGAAACAAAATACAATCTGGATCAAGGCAAGATTACTTACCTAGGCGCAAAAAAGATTTAAGAGACAAATGTCTCGATTGAAATGTTGCTACTAATGGGCTGCTTCCGGAAAGGTTACTATTGTTAAAACACCCGGAGGAAAACGACTCTACTCAAATACAGATGTACACAGAGCCTTTGGAAATGACCAGAAACCCATGCAAAAGTCCAAAGTTTGCTACGCCAGAGTCAGTTCGGAACATCAACGAGGTCAACAGATCAGGACTCAATTGGAAGCGCAGAGGGTTTGCTTCCCTTTTTGGAACGAGTATACTCTAACGTCGAAGAAGTGGTGGTTACCCAAAAATAACGCTTGTGTTGCTTCAGATATGAAGCCAGACATGGCTCGTTGTTCTCGGTTAAGACATTTGTACCAATGATGGCAAAACTGGAAAACTTGCAGAAGACTTACTTGCAATCGTCACAGTGTTTGTGTTTGTGGCGACATAATTGACTACGTTCTGCTACAAATCGCAGAAAAGAAAAGGTACCACTTAAGAAGAAAGAAATGAGGAAACTTCCAGAAGGAAAAGTACAACGCATCCAGCTTTTCCTATTCAGGAGGAGCGAATAAAACTCAGAAAATGAATAGGAACAGCACGATGGACGTACAACAATATCTTATCGTGGTCAAAAAAGGTGTCAATCGAAAAAAAAGGATTTGAAGGCACTATGTCTCAATGCCGTAAACTTCAATATACCAAAATTAAATGGATCCTTGAAACTCCCTATGATATACAGGATGAAGCTAAAATGGCTTGTTTAAAGGATATTCTTCCAACTTTGCTGCAAATCATAAAAAATTCAAGATGAAGTTCCGTTCTAAAAAGGATTCTCAATAGTCAATTGCGATACTTTCCAAACACTGGAGCAAGTCTCGTGGTAAATATGCATTTATAACAAGACTATCATATTAAGTTGATTTGGAAGAGGCTCTGTCGCCTTGATGAAGTTTATCTTTGTATACCTAAACCACTTGAAATACGGGCTGAAACCAAGGTCCTTTATTTTCAGAAATACAAGAAAAGGTTTTTATTTGTTTTTCATCTTTAATTATTATATTATTTATATATTATATACATTGTTTTATATAAAAGATTTTACATTATATTTAATGAGATAATTTCTTAATGTACACTAGTGTGCGAAACACATATCACGTGACTATAATTTGTCACCCATGTCACGCCCCTATAGTTTTCCATTTTTACTATTTATTCTAGGGACTTGAATTGGAAAAACCTTATTTATCACATATTATATGTCACATACCATAATTTCGGCCAAATTTTATAATTCAATAATTCCAGCCAAAAATTACTGTAATTTCCAATTTTGGATATTGGAGTAACGTTATACAACCCAAAAAAGGAAATTATGTTTCTAGGTAAAAAATGAAAATGCGTTATACAAATTTCCAAAATAGGAAATTTTTATGCAGATCACCGAAAAATGACAACTATCACGTGACATGTGTTTACACACGTAGTGTACAAATAGAAATAGTCTTTAAATAATAACAGAGAAAATTTATGTATTTAATAATTTAATAGGAAGGATCAGAAGTGATTGCTCTAGATCCAGATGTACGTACGTTCATGACTGGTTATGATCCAAGCGGAATAGCTGTTGAATGGGGGAAAAATGATATTGGTCAACTAAGTCATGTATGTGACAAGCTTCAAGTAAACGCGATTGTATTTATGAAAAAAACGTTACTGGCAATATTAATTAATTTGTTTATTTAATATTTTTTTATAATTTAACATATATACTACTTTCAATTGTAGATTATGTCATGTTATGTTACGTATTCACAAGAGGATCCGTTGTCTTTGTGAATTATTATCATTTGTAAACTGGCTAAATGGCTTTGTAGAAATTATCATATAATATTACTACCGAATTTCGCACTCAAGGAATGTCCGACGTGGGTAACGACGCATTAGTTCCAAGACTCATTCGATCCATAAGGCACGCGAGCATCTCTTGTCAAGTAGTAAAGAAAGCAAAACTTGTGGATTCTTGACTATATTCATAAAAAGCTAGGCAGATCAAAGGTGCCAATGTAAAACAAAATTTGATAGAGATATTAAATTTAGACTTTGCTTAATGTGGAATTTTATTAATAAATATATGATCTGATCGTCGATTTAAATTGACATTTTTGTATTTCCCACCCTTTTTTTTTGCGTTATATCACATGCTTACGGGAACAAACTACTTTTCATTACTTTCAACTCTTTTTACTAGCATTAAAGTTTTATTACAAGAAAAATGAAGCTGTGGGATTCTTTCGAGTTCAGTGATCAGGGGACTATGGATGAAACTAGTCCTTTTGACAACTTTTTTAAACTCACGAGGACACAGCGACTTTATGGTTTTGGAATTTGGTATCCTGCTCTCGCGTTACTTATTTTCTGTATTTTGTAATCGTGCCCAAAGCGTAAAGATCGTAAAATATTATTAACGCGTTATAATTTTATCGTATAACTAGCTTTGTCCTTGGCTTCGTGATAAGTATATTGGTAAGTTCTTTCCTACAAAAAACTTCCTAGAGTGTAATTATTCAGTTTTTGTTCATGCTTTTAGGCTACCATTCTTCTATTTACTGGTCCACTTTCTGGCTTTGCTGTTTTATATACTATTGGAAATATTATATCTCTTCTTAGGTATAAAACAAATTTGTAAAAATTCTTTCTTTTTTTTTTACTAAAATGATATCTATTTATAGTACTGGTTTCCTTGTCGGTTTTAAGAAACAAATAAAAACAATGTTTGCTCCAGGTATTTGTTTTTAATGGAATATATATATATAAATTGAAATAAAAAAAATTTTTTTTTTCGTAATTAAAATATTAATGTAATTAATTCATTTTGAAAGTTCGGTGGTTTGCTAGTGTAGTTTTCCTTGGAGCATTAGTGCTCACCTTGGTTGTCGCGTTTGTAGTAAGCAAGCAGGAGTGCGTTTGTATTTCTTGTTTAACTAAACCATACTAACTTTATTTTTTTTTAAATGTAGCTACAAAACGGTGTTTTATGTATTATTTTATGTATTATTCAATGGATGGCACTATTTTGGTATTGGTAAGTTATTACTATTTAATTGGTTTTTTTTTCTACTTTGTTAATGTTTTTCTTAATTCGTTTCAGCGCCAGTTACATACCTTACGGAAGGTAAGAAATCACATTAATAACTTATTTATCTAAAAAAAATTAATTTATTCGTTTTAAATTTTGCTTAGAGCTATTATCAAAAAAGTTCTCGGAAGTTGTGTTGATAGTATATAATAAAAAATTGGGTAGCATTTTAAATTATTTCTTGTACAAAATTTTGAAAATTTTAATTGATATATATATTTTTTTAAGAAAGTTTTTTGATGTAGTACATATTTTTTTCTAAATGTTGTTTTATATTATTACCAGTATATTAATTATATTACAAATAATAATATCCCCTTCATTACATAAATTACAAATATAATAAGAAATATAAAAAAAAGCTAATTAAGATTGTCCGCTGCTAAAACTAAACCGAACATTATACATATGCCCTTCTGTGTGATAATCAATTATTCAATTTCTCGGCGACTGATTTAGCATCAAGCTTTTCATCTCCAAATGCGTAGATGTGCATATTACGTTTCGTAATCGCTTTAATGTCTGGTCTCAAATTTTCCCATTCGTTCAATTGTTGTTTCTCAAATAAAATTTGTTTTTTAACATATTCTTTAACAGCACTGAAAAAATCTTGGGCACGATTTTCTTCGTATATTTTTAATTCGGTATGAAGATTTTTCGTTACATTTTTGACGCGTGCGTCAAGGTTTTGTTCATAACTTTTGGCCTTTTTATTTTCAATGTAGACAAATAAAAAAAAATTAGAATCATCGTCCAACCGAAAATCATTTTTAACAGAGAATGAAACGTACATAATCTAAATCTTCCAAGGCTTCATTAACTTTATCAGATTTAATGTTCGTCGAAGACTTTAACCGTTCGATATAACGTCTTTTGCTTATAGTAGTTTTAACTGCATCATCGTGTTCAGAAATAATTCTAAGACGATTTGCTAAAGTTTCCTACATGAACGCCAATTAATCAACTAAACAACCAAAAAAGTCACTTCAAATTACATAAGTAATTGCCTATTATGCAAATATATACCTGAACTACATGAGAATTAATTGCATAGTAACTAAAAAAGTCACCAAGAGTAGCTGCTTCACTGATGGCTTGTAATTTCTGTCGCTCACTGATTATTTGAAGTGTTTTTCCAAATTTTCGTAAGCCACTAAAAGAAAAACAAATATTGTAAGTTTTAAATTGAAACGTTCATTAATTTCAACATCTACTTAAAATTTACTTCGATAAAGGAGGATGATTTTCAACTGTTCCCATTGCAATAGATTTTGTTCCAAGATCATAATTAAATGCTGCTAATCCTAATAATTTGAAAATTTTTCAATAATTATTCACATAAAGAAAAAGAAAAGTTCTATTTATAGATCTAAACCTTTGCGATATCCCGCCAATTTTTGAATAGTTTTTGCAATATTAAGAAAATGTCCTTCTAAAATATGTGCTGTTGATTTGGCATGAACCAATGCTTTATCCTCATCCCTAATATCGGGAGTGAACTTAAGCTTAAAACTACTAGTCCTCTTCCGTGGTTTAGTAGCTGGGATAAACTAAAATAAAGAAACTTTAACACTTGTATAATATTTACTGGCGATATTGATTTTTTATCTGATTCGAAACTTACAGCAAAATCAGTTTCTATAAATGATCTAAGTTCCTCATCATGACATAAAACAGGATTCATTGCCACCCGATTAACCCATTGTTGCATAGAATGTTTAATTCTACGTTCATCATCCTCGGTTGCTTGATAACTACTCGATGAAAAAGGCAATGCTGGAACTATACACTCCGGATTAGAATAAGTCAATGTATTAAATAATCGCTCAAATTCTGCATGTGAACGTTCAATTAAAGGATATGAACTGTTTTTATATCTTGGCAAATTAGTCTAAAATAATAGATAAATGTTTAATAAACGAAAGTTTAAGCCTGGAGCAAAATTAAATATTCAAAAATAAAAGCTCTTACAATAGCTTTAAACTTGAAAACTGGATCGCGACGGTTTCTGTCCAGTGTCGTTATTGAAATATGTAAATAATCTCCATCTTGTGATTGAGTCGATGAATCATTTTTAAGTTGTTGTTTTGTTCTAGCAGCTTTAGGTGACGAAAATTGGTAGGTTTGAGTTGTATTCTCGTTCCCATTTAATACTGGTTCTTGTGGTACTGCCATTAATAAGTATATAAAATATAAAATGAAATAATTATAAAAAAAAATTTTTGTGCTTTTATATATCATTGTTGGGCGCACTTTGCTTTGTGTAACAAATTTGTCTTTTCTTTTAAAACTAGGATCTTCGGATTATCAGATACTTATGATGAAATGTCCATAAAAGGAATAACTGAAATGTATTTTTTTTTTATTTTCATGTTAAAAAAAAATCTCGTGTACAATATAAAAAGCTAGAACATTTTAAAATGCGATAATTTATTTCGTATATAAATAACTATTTTACTATATTTTTCCATCTAGAATAGCACTATTAATTGTAAGTCATATATCTATAAATAAAAATAAAAATTTGATCAAACATCTGTACTGAAATAAAACGAAATATCACATAAAATACAAACAAATAATACCTCGGAGTAGACGAGAATTTTGCATACGACTGTAACGTTATAATAGAAAATAAGTAAAGAATATTAAAAAAGATACTGATTCAATTCTAAACGTTACCTTTATAACTTTATTAACAGCTTCTAGGAAGTCTTTTTCTGTCGCAACCTGCAGAATTAAATAAAATGTGAATATATTACAATCACGTAAGATTTATTTCAGTGTTGTTAGTTATGAATCATAGTACCTTTCTTCTAGATCTAATTGCAAACATTCCAGCTTCTGTACACACACTACGTAATTCGGCACCTATTATTCAAAGGTAATATTCAATATAATTTACCATATATTTGTACTTTGTTAAACCAATTTTTTTTCATACCAGTACTGTTTGGGCAAAGTCGTGCTATCAGCTCATACCGGATATCACGCTCAACCGACATGCTAATAAAATAATTTATTAACGAATAATTTTTTTATAAAATAAACCGATAAAGAAATAATCTGATTTGGTACCTTTTAGCATGGATTTTTAAAATATGTGAACGACCCTATCAAATAGTGTTAATAATATTAATAATATTGAATTCATCATCAATTACTTGATACCGAAGAATATATAAAGTTTATTACCTCTAAATCTGGTAATGAAAATTCCACTTTTCGATCCAAACGACCAGGACGCAACAAAGCTGGGTCCAAAGTATCAGGACTGTCAAATAAATATTTTATTTAATATTTGTTTAAATAAAAAAATTCCTTTCTAGTTATTTACCGATTCGTTGCCATTAGAACCTTAATGTTTCCCCGTGGATCAAAACCATCTAACTGATTGATCAACTCCAGCATAGTTCTTTGAACCTCATTGTCACCTCCAGCACCATCATCATAACGTGCACCTAATTATTACCTGTAGTTATTATTACCATATTCTCTAAAGGAAAAATTTTAAATTAAAATTGTACCTCCAATTGCATCAATTTCATCAAAAAATATAATACAGGCTTTTTTAGTTCGTGCCATTTCAAACAATTCACGAACCATACGTGCTCCTTCACCAACATATCTATTAATCAAAAATCAAAAATCCATTAATATAAAAAAAAACATTATTACTGGTGGACATAAATATATAACTACTTTTGCACAAGTTCGGAGCCAATAACACGAATAAATGTCGCATCTGTTCGATTTGCAACTGCACGAGCACATAAAGTTTTGCCAGTGCCCGGAGGACCATATAGTAAAACTCCTTTAGGTGGGTCAATACCCAAATTTACAAATCTTTCAGGCTATAACATTTTCTTTATTAATATATCTTTTTCTTTAAGTTAAGGAATCAACATCACAGTAAAATTTACAATACCTGAAGTAAAGGCAGCTCAACGACTTCTCTTAATTTCTCAATTTGCTCTTTACAACCTCCAATATCACTATACGTGACATCAGGTTTTTCCTCTACTTGCATCATTGTCACAGAAGGGTCAATCTTTGGTGGTAATGGAATTTGAATCTGATACTTATTTCGATCCACACTAAAAATGGTATATCTATAAATTTACGACCAAGTTTCATAAGGCTTGAAATACTTACACTTACCCAACACGCATTCCTTCTTCTATATCCGTCGGTGATACACGTTCACCTAACGCAACAACAAACTTTGCTATTTGTTTTACATTAATAATATATTTGGCATCCTCACCGTCAGCTTGAATGATTTTAGTACAACGGGCAACCTTTGGATTTATTCAATAAGAGAAATAGAAAAATAAGCTAGTGAAACTAGATAGTATTTAACCAATTACAATTCACCTGTAAGGGTTGTTCTTCTTGCATTCTTTGTTTGTCAGCGGGGATATCCCAAAGATTTGGTGGGGCAAGACCAGTATCTGATTCCTTGACACCTTTTCAAAAAAAATCATGAGCGCACTAAATTTTTATTATCTTAATTATAAAATTGCATAGTACCTATTTTTTCATTTATTCGTTTTTGAATATCCTTAATATCGCTGTCAGTTTTTTTCAGTTCCTTTGCGTAAGGACCTTGACCCTTATAAATAATGAGCTGTAAGCTTAATAAAAAAATAAAACTAATCGAATATTTCAGCAATAACTTACATAAGTTTTCAAAAGTGCAATGTCTCCTTCATCGAGTGCTATTGCACGTAAAGAAAAAGATCAGGTAATAATTTATCAATAAATACTTATCAAAAAGGTTAAGAAATTTAAACACACCAACAATCTTTTCTTCCTCTTTTTCTTCAATATTTTTATCGTCTACAGAAATGAATACTCCGCATCAATTTCAAACTTTATTGTAGAAAACGTATACAAAATAATTTATCGATAAATTACATTTTTCCCAATTTTCTTTTGGCGGCATATTGGAAAAAGTATGAAATTGTTCAAACTGATCAATCGCGTGTATAACGAACTTAACGTAATTTAATTACGTAAGTATAGCATGTGGCGCAGTCAGTTGGGATCGTCAAGCGTAACTATTGGGCGAGTTGATATTTGAGCCTAATAATTTTTGCTGAAAATTGGAAAAAAATATTTTAAAATATCTTGATAATTCACTATATTTCTATAAAAATGGGCAAAGGAACGGATAAAATGTAAGTTTTCTAATTGTTATTTATTTAAACTCTCTTACATGAGTCTGATGTTTCCTGATCGAAATTTAGGTACATTACGCATTCCGGTAAGATTATCTATTTGTTTAGTGAACTTGTGTTTTTAGGCGAATAGATCATTTTTGATGTTTAATTTGATCAAATTGATCATATTCAATATAGAATGGTCCGGAGAATTTGGAGGGATGCAATTTGGAGGAATTCAAGCAAGGAAGAAAACCGAAGTTTTTAAAAGACTTCCATTTTATTGTTGTTCGCTTTCCTTGCAGCCTTTCGAACATCCTGTATGCACACTTGATGGTATTATATTTGATCTAAGGTATTAAATCAGAATTTAGGACAATCAACCTATTATCATCTCTACTGGTTGATCATTTCTTTTTATTTTATAGACATATACGTCTGTATTTAAAGAAGTTTGGAATAAATCCAGTAACTGGTGAAAAATTAGAAGCGAATTCGTTAATTAGCCTCAATTTTTTAAAAAATTCTGAAGGTGCGTTATTTTCGATATAAATATTTTTAAAAATGATTTGAATATTCATAATTTTTTTTAGGCGAATATCATTGTCCGGTAACCTTTAAGGTATTCAGTGATCATACACATATTGTTGCTATAAGGACAACTGGTAATGTATACGCATATGAGGCAGTTGATCGACTGAATATTAAAGTAAAACATTGGAAAGATTTATTATCAGAAGAACCTTTTACAAGAAAAGATATAATAACTTTACAGGTATTAATAAAAATTTTATGCATCAATTCGTAAGTTAACTATAGTATTTATAAATGCAGGATCCTCATAATCTTGAAGCACGTAATTTGTCAAATTTTTACTATCTTAAAAACAATTTAAAGCTAAAAGACGGTATGTAAATTTATAAGAAAGTAATTCGATTCGGTTGCGAATATTTAACTTAATAAAATTTTCTAGATGAATCATCAAACGATCCTTTAAGTGATATAAATTTAAGTGCCACAGGTTCAGCAGGACGTATTCTTTCAAAGATTTCTGGCCAGGTACGTATATACAAATAAGTTCGCATCAATTATTTAATATAATAAATCAAATCTTATTTCGCTTTTACCGTTTAGCAAGATGAATTGGCAGAACATGCAAGTGCCGAGGACAGGCCTCTGAAGAAAACTGCATCTTCAACACCCGCCATAAAACCAAAATCCAAAAATGTTCCATATAATGCTGCATCGTATTCGCGTGGATTAGCAGCCGCATCATTTACTTCTACTGCGATGACACCAATAACTGAAAATGAAAATGCGCTTGTTGATGAAGAAGAATTCATGTTTAAAGAAATTAAAGAAAGGGGCTATGCACGAATCATAACTAACCTTGGAAGCTTGAATATCGAATTATTCTGTGATAAGGTATTACGAAAATATTTTGTTGGAATTTGACTTATGAATTATTGTAATTTGAATAAATTTTTTTAAGGCACCGAGAGCTTGTTATAATTTTATAATGTTATCAAAAAAAGAATATTATAATGGGTATGTTCTATATCATTGCGTTTGCATTACAGTATTTATCTTGTAAATTAACTTATCTGTTATTGTTTAGAACGATCTTTCACCGTAAGATAAAAAACTTTATGGTATTTATTAACTCTCTCGCTTTTCATTTTGAATGATTTGATCAATTTTTCGTTTATTATTTTGCCTAGATTCAAGGTGGTGACCCTACAGGTACAGGGAGAGGAGGTGAATCATATTGGAAGAAAGATTTTGCAGATGAATTTAAACGAAATCTCTCACATAATGAACGTGGGCTCATGAGTATGGCCAATAAAGGAAAAAATACAAATTCATCTCAATTGTATGTATCATACTTTAGTTCTTTCAACACTCTCAGAAAGTCTTATGATTATTTATTAAAATACATTTAGTTTTTTTACCTTTCGTCCGTGTACTCATCTGGATAACAAACATACCATTTTTGGAAAAATTGTTGGAGGAAAAGAAACTTTAGATAAAATGGAATCAGTGCCCACAGATGAATCCGACCGACCTTTACAAGAAATTAAAATTGTCAAAATTATCACCTTTGTCGATCCATATGAGGAATACAAAAAAAAATTGGAAAAGAAATTGAGTCGACAAATCGAAAATGCGGAAAAGAAACCGCGAGGGAAAACAGAAAAGGTTTGATTATGTCTATAAAAAGCATTTTTAAAAAAATTGATTTATTGAAAATTAATAATATTTTAATAAATAGGATACAACTACATGGTTTGGCACGAAATTAGCGTCATCAACTGAGACAAAAGATAATGAATCAGTTGGTGTGGGGAAATATTTGAAATCAGCTACATCTTCGACGTTTAAAAAGCGGAATTTTGATAATGATGAATTAGATACAGAACCCATTAAAAAGAAATCAAAAGCTACAGGTTATAATTTTGGTGACTTTAGTAATTGGTGATGAATTTATATGTATACTTGAAAGTTTTTTGTAATAATTTTTAATCATAAGGAAATACAATTACAATATAATTTTTTAAATGGTTAATAGAGAAGATTTTCGATTAATATTTATTCTCGAAAATAACTTGAATGCGTTCTTCGTTGTTTGTTGAATCTGTTTAAATAAATAGAATATTTTAATTAATAAACATCATTTTTTTATACTGTTAAAGCATAAAAGAACGTTACTTCCCACTTCCTCGATTGGAATCTGTTTGATTCTAGAAATTTCTGTTGCGCTTATAATAATACTATTTGGCTCATTATCGACTCCTTTTGTGGGACCTAGCGCCGGAGAATCCGTTTCGAGCAAAAGGTTTGTTAATGGAATTTCTGCTGCTAATTTTTGTTTTTGAGGCGATCGAATTATTGAAGGTGGAATTGAAAAAAAAAATCTAAGCAAAATAAATCATAACAATTATTAAATTTAATATAGAAAATATTTATCAAGATTCATGATAAAAAAATAATGAATAATGAATAATCTATACCCCATTTCGATTCCTTTTCTAGCATATTTTAATTGACCATCAAAAGCATGCATTACTACTTTTCTTGCGCCATAATCTCGCAAGCAATCTAATGCATGATGACCAGCACTACGCGAATGAACATTCAAGGGAAGATCTAATTGAAGTGAAAGCGCTATATGTCGCGCTAAAACTTGTCGTTGTATATTTTTTAATTCTTCAGTACTAAGATTCAAATTAGTATTTGAATCAATTGCATTTTTTAAAATATGAGGAGTAAAGTCCAAACCAACTGAGAAAGAAAATGAGAACTTTACAATTTTATATTATTTATATTGATATATGTTACAAATAATAATACCTTCTCCAATTCCAACTAATTCAGTTGACTTCTCCTGGATGAATTCAAGGATACTATTAGCTTGCTCTGTACTAACTAAACTCATTGCTCCTACTGGCTGCACAGGATGTAAGCCTGCGCAGGGTTCAATCATTTCTCTTAATGAATCAGATAGTGTTCCATTTTTCAAGCCTAGTATACTTTTTGCATCTTCCAATGTTTCTGAAACAGTAACTATTGACTGTACATTCGCAGTTTTTGCGCGTGAAAGTATTTCTTCAATCGGCGTATTCGGAAAAGAGGAAGGATAAACGTGTGCATGAACATCTATTAAGTATTGAAACATATATATAAGTATTTTAAATTCTGTTTCAAATGGTTGAGTTGTAAGTATTCGATCTACTAATAATCAAAATAAAAATTTTAATTTTACATGTATATAACCTTTTAAATTTGTATTTTTTTAAATATATTGCTGGGTTCTAATTAACCTTCTATTTATTTTATTTTTTTTTTTTTTGGAATTACAAATTAAATTGCATAGTATTTATTATTTTTACTAGTTTGTTATGTTATTACCAGTGGTTATAACAATTAATTTTTTATTATAAAAATACCATCATTGGTATTACATTATAAAAAAGTTATTAGTATATCAGAAAAATTATATAAAATTAACTAGTAAAATGGAAAATCAAGTCATATGGGCTGATTTATGGAATTAAGTTTTTATATTCAAAAAACTAACTTTATTAAGCAAATGCAAATACAAGTTACATGAAAATGATACCAGCTGACATAAATAAAATTGATTTAATTATATTATTTTTTGATTTTTTTAATAATATCATTAAAATTGAATAACTTAACGTGTATGTGTGTTAGATGAATGAATTTATATTCATTAGAAAGAGGTAATCAAGAGCTATCCAAAAACCAAATATTGCATGAATTGAATCATAAGTTGCTGAATAATTATATTCAATATATTTATTTTTAACTTTGATCGTTAATATCTTCATATTTAGTAATTCGATCTGAATGATTTTATTCGTTCAGGTAGAGTAGGTTCTGGGCTTTCATATGAATATAAATATATGTATTTAGCATGCATGTACGCCGAGATATTAACAATTTTGTTAATTGAATAAAACTCTGTCACAAAAATTTTTAAAATTATAATTTTTACTAAAAGATGATCTTTACAGGTATTATTGAGCTCTTTTTACTTTACTATTTAACAAGGTTTTATTTGCTATTTCTGTTTTAAATTGAATAAATTAATAAAATCAATTTTAAAAAGTAATTAACAAGTAGAATAAAATCAGTATAGTAAAAAACAAAAAAAAACATCTCAAAAACTCTAAATCACAACTCACATTTTTATTTTGTATATATTTTTACTAAGAAAAAGAAGGCACTAAGGTTAAAAATAAGATTTTTTTTATTAATATAAATTATTAATATTTGTTTTCTTACTTACTAATTAAAAAAAACCTGCCATATATGCCTATAAACTTTTCTGAATCACCTAACAAAAATCTGATTGAAAAGTAATTGAAAAGTAATTGAAAAAAAAAGTAGTTGTCATTGTTATTTTTGAATAAATGTTAAAAAATTTTTTTTATTTTTTGATAGATTTAGATCATCTGATTATATAACACATATAATTTAAGCTTGTAAAATATAATTCTTGTTAAAATGTGCAAATCTTTATGAAAATCTTAATTTTGGCTAATTCCACGAATTGGTGAATATGTTCCCAATATTTATTTTATTTTATTTTAATAATAAAAAAATACAAATATTCAGACACAATACTATTGATTAAATATACAAATAAGAACAAATTTAAACCAAACTGTTGCAATTTCAATTATAGCAAAAACAAGAACAAACGCCTTTTAAACATCTATAATATATAACTGTTTTTTAAGTTGTAAATAAAATGAGAATTGGAGGTGAACACAGGTATTTTAAATACAATACAAACTAATTTAAATTATTAAACACTTTTGTAAAAGCAATAAAATTTATGTTAAAACTTCTTTCATTAGCAAATTTAATTAGATATAATATTATGTAAATTTATACTTTTGTAATATTTCATAAATTTATAGGATCTTTAAAATATTATAATTTTTACAATATAAAAATTCTGCAAAATATCTGATCTGATTTGTATTTGTGAATCAGATTTGAATTAAATCTGAATCAAATTATAAAATTTATAATTTATAATTCAATCAAATTAAAAATATATAATTAATTAGAATCTAATTGGAGATTTAAACTGATTTACAGATTATCAGATTTCTTAATAAAAAAACAGGTCTGAATACTTTAACTAAAATCCTAAAAGTTGAAATATTTTTAACTATCTGAATAAGAGTGATTTAGAGCTGTTTAACAGAAAAATAAATTTTTACATAAAATTCCTTAAAAAAATCACTGATAATAATCAAGATAGCAGGCAAAAAAGTGTACAAATTCTTTTTAACAGATATAAAAAGGCAAGTAAAAATTTTTTTATTAAAAGAAAGTAATATAATTTGAAGTTTACTGGATTGCCTATCATCCAACATTATTTACTGAACCATAAAACTAGTATTAGTGTACAAATGACTTATTTGGTTATTTATGCTAAAAGTTATTTGCTGATTTAACATTAGGCCTATTAGAATACAAATGGTTTAGGGAGCTTACAGATATTACGTAATTATCAAAGGGGGGGAGGGGGGTAACTAAAATCTTACGTTACACTTAATAAAATATATAATTTATAAATATTATAATTTGATTGGTTATTAAATCTGACAAAGGGGGGAGGGGAGTAAGTTTATATTAAACTGAATATTACGTAATATATGTAACTCCCCTTATTTAGTTGCAATGATATTCAGATAGAATGACAGAAAAATTAATAATAAATTAATATAATAATCAGAGACTATTATTAATTTTAAATCTTTCATGTTAGAATTCTCAACTATATCAAAAAAAGTAAAAGAATAGAATAAAAAATACTTGTGTAGATAAGTATTTATTTACCAACTGATTAATGAAAATATAAGAAATATAATTAGGAAAATAAACAGTACTACCAATATTAGAACTTCTACATTAAAAAGAAATATTATTATTTATAAGATCTATTTATTGAAACTGATTTTAAAAAAGCATTAATTGCCGATCTGTCACTTAACAATACAAAATTAATTAGTAAATTCGTCACAAATCCTATTATAAGTGACGTCATTACACATATTTTGGCTCCTATTTTGTCCCATTTAGTCCAATGCTTAAAATGTAACAATAACTACCAATTAAAAACGTGAACCGTGAACAAGCCAAAACAAAAAAAAAATTCATCGTAGATAAATAATTCATCAAGTTTACCTTGGGGGAAGTCACCATTCCAGCTTATATTATATATAGTTTTATACTTATTACATACGAATTTCAAAAATTTTACAAATTTTTTTTTTATATAATAAAAATTTTATAATAAATATATGTTTTTATAATCAAATGAAAGCTTTTTCAATTGTTTTTTTTTTATTTTTTTTTTCATGATTTTTTTTTATAACATACAAGTTAAAGCTATTAATGTCGAATTTAGGGACTATTATTTTGAGAGTGCCGCTTCTGTAGCTTGATATTTTAATGCTGCTGCATATCTACTAATCCAACCTTGAATTGTAGAAACTTTTGGTACGTCCTGTTCTTCAATTTCTTCTGTTTCCACATATTTTAACAACTCATCATGCATTTCTTGTGCATTGAGTTTATCTTGGAGATTTATATTACCATTTAAAGAAAATAGCTCTAACAAACTTTTGACCTTCTTTGTCATTCTTTTTCCACTTCCCTTTCTTCCAAAAATTTGGTTCTGCTTTAGCGCCCATCCCTTTGGCAACTGAAAATTTTCGTCTATCGAACTTATAAAAAAGCATCAATAGGTGTTATTAAAGAAGAGCATTTACATTCAATGCTTACTTTGCAGTAGGATGCTGCCAATTTGGATTTCTATTTATATTAGCTAAGAAAATTATGTTAGTATTTCATTTATAAAAATATAATCAGACATATATAGTAATACTTACACGAATTGTTTTCAGTATCGCTTTGATTATTTGGCTGATTTGCGATATCTATTGTGATGAAAGACATCAGGTAACTGTAAAATCACATTGTGTAATGCAATTTTTTCTTACCAATAATATCGTCACTAACATCAACTAATTATAAAATAATATTAGCCTATATATTGTGAAATAATATGTCAAAATGATTAAAAAATCAATACCATTTAATTGAGATATGGGTATTGTCCAGGTTGAAGTTGCCTGAGTGTGTATTGATAAAGTAGGCTGTGGCTGCACAATAGGACTATCACACAAATCAGAAATTACAGCTGGAGAAAATTGAGACCAAGAGCCAATGTGTGGAAGAGAACGAGCTTGAATGAAGCCAGCCAATAGTCCTTCAGTAGGCCATTCCCAATAAAAATATTTTGAAATTCCTGAAATTGTTTTGACCTTAGGTTTCTTTTTTTTTCTTGTATTATTATTCATTTGTTCAGAATTTTCGTTATTTTCATTTCTATTTGGCTCAATATTTGCAAAATATGTACCAGCAAGATTCTTTCCCACCTCTACTATATCTTGGTCTCCTTTTATATCATATCCAATTTGAATATAACGTTTTATTGTATGTGAGATCTAAAATTAAAAGAAAATGTAAATAATTAAAAAATTTTTATCACTTTATATAATCGAAAAACTTACCGAAGTATGGTGGGAATCGATGGTTGTTTTTGCTTCACCAGATTCTAAAAACAACCAACTACGAACTTGTATTTGGTACCAATCATACCAATATGCAACAATTGACATTAGTTCAGAATTATGATAATGAGGTCCATTATCAGAGATGACACTTATCCATTTTGGCTTTTTTTCTATTGATCCAAAAACTGCTTCAAAAGAGAATGCAGTAAATCATACGTCTTGTTTTGTATCTGTAGACCAATGATCATATGCACATACATCTAATTTCATTTCATCATCTTTTTTTGTAAATATAAGAATCGTATGAAGAGTCCAGCCCCTTTTTCCAAAAAATTGTTCTTTAGTTTCACGTGCAGATTTTAGTAGAATCCTCATTTTATAATCCACTACAATTATTGCGCCATCCTTATCAAGTTGTGCCAAAGATGATTTGAATTGTGCATTTAAATATACCTTCCGGACTTGATGGGACAGGTAATATTTGAGTTTTTCTTTAATTTGATCAAGATTTATTTTTTGTTCAGAAGAAACATGTGTGTTCAAAAAATTAAAAAATTCAAAAAATTCATCACACTCAGTACAACGTGAAGTATGATAATATTTGCATTCTCCAAATGCATATAATAGGCAATGATTTATGCATTCATCATGTGACACAGTGCCATCTTGATTAATCACTAGTTCTCTTTCAAAATTTCTTTTCATATGCCTTCTCAAATTTTCTATACGATTAATGATACCATCCTAATAAGAAGAAAATTAGTTGTTATTAGGTGATTAGGTTTTCTGGTAAGATTTATTAAGTACAAAAAATATTTACCAATCTTTTTTTGTCATTAAAAGTGCTTCGCGCAATTGCTATTAGATCTTGAAAAGCTTCAAATCCATAATCATTACATATTAAACACAATCCACCCAGGTCTTCCCGATATTTAATATGGCTACAATCAGCTAATCGCGCCATAAATGAAGTTTTTTTCATTCCATTTGGGTATGTTTCTTCAAATTTAGTCCATAATGCTTCTTTTTAATCTTGCAAATATAATATTGGTAAATTAGTTTTGGAATCAACTTTATATGAACTCATGGTTACATTACTTTTGTCCTGAAAAAATAATTCAAATTCTCTTTCTTTAATTTCAGACATATGATGAATTTTTCATTTTAGTTTTACAATAGCTATTGCACCTGGACCATTAAGTCTAGCATATTTGCACGCTGAATTTATAGTATTAGGGCTAACCTATATAATAAAAAATAATCAAGAATGAAAAAAAGATAAAGAAAATAATCAGGCAAAGGAAACCAATCAGGAACAAAAGGAAATGAAAAAACTAATCAGGAGTGAAAAAAATGAAGAAAATTGATCAGGAGCAAAAAGAGATGAAGGATATCAATCAGGAGTGAAAGAAAACGAAGGAAACCAATCAGGAGTGAAAGGAAATGAAGGAAATCGATCAAGAAGTGAAAAGAAATGAAGAAAATTGATCAGAAGCAAAGGAGATAAAGGAAATCAATTGGAAATGAAGAAAATTGATCAGAAGCAAAAGAAGATGAAGGAAATCAATCAGGAGCGAAAGCAGGTAAAGAAAAACTGATCAGAAGTGAAAGGAAATGAAGGAAATCGATCAAGAAGTGAAAAGAAATGAAGAAAACTGATTAGAAGCAAAATGAGATGAAAGGAACGATCAGGAGTGAAAGGAGGCAAAGGAAACTGATTAGAGGCAAAAGGAAATGAAGAAACCCGATCAGAAGCAAAAAAAATCAAAGAAAAAATTGCCAGGAGTGAAAAAAAGTGAGTGAATTGTTCAAATAATAATTTTATACCTGAAGTTTTTCACAAAGATCATTATAGCGAAAGTTTTCTGCTATTATTGATAAAATTCTTATTTTTCCATCTATACCACGTCTATTATTATCCAAGGCACTTTTGAAACTTTTCCAAAAATTCATACTCTTATCTATAATTATTGGAGAATTATTTTTTAAACAAATTAACCCAGCATTATATAAATTCAATAAAGTCTCTTTATCAGCACTTGGATCTATTGCTCTACTCCAAAATTCAATATTTGATTCCTTCTTTTCAAAAGGTGTAACATTGGTACACCCACAAGCTATAAGCATAGCTTTTCACGCACATAATTCTTTATGATGAATTTGATAATCAACTGAGTAGATATTCTGCAATGCTTTTGGAATTTGAATAATTGTACTTTTTTGAGATAACTAATCTATAAATAAACTTTGCCAATTATCCAATAATGCCATTTTTCCAGTTTTTCTAGATTTTATATGACGATCAAATGCTTGCTGTAAAATTTTAAAATTATTCCATTCATCCACTGTGCATATACGAAGAATATTATTTTTAGGTGAATTTTGTAAAATAGTTTGTACAGATGAATGCGTTATTCCAAATAAATCAATCCCATCAAATTTTTTATTCATACCACTTTTTTCTACACGTTAGTTGGAGTTTCATCCTCAAATTGAGCTACTATATTTGATTCATAATAAATTCTAAGTATACAGGTGTTATTTTCAATTCGTTGTGAAACAAAAGAATGCTTTTTTTGAAATTTTGTTAGAATTGAAGAAGTAAAACCATTTCCTGCACCACAACATCCATTATTTTTTGAATAACCAATATTTGATACTACAACTAAAAATGATTGTATTTTGATATATATTGGAAAAAATGTTACATCTTGCAGCAACCTTTCTATGATTTGATCATTATAAAATCCCATTATTGCTGGTCCAGAATATTCAGTTTTTTTACCAAAAATTTCTTGATATAATGTAGTTATTGCTGTAGAAGCAGATGACGAAATTTCAGTACTTTTTTCTTTGCAACTCTGGTTCAAATGGACTTGTAGTGTTTTGAACGATAGAAATAATAAAAATTTCTCCATTAAGCTCACAGGAAACACGCATATGAAGGCAAAAAAGTACAATTAATTGTTGAGAAGAGGTGTTTTTTATAGTTTTTTTGTCTTTTAACATTTTTTGAAACTACCAATTTCGCGCAAATATGCCATAGTGCAATTCAGAAGATAAATTTCCTTTTGCTAACAATATTGTAGGGTATTCGTATTATTGGAACATCTTTTTGAACTGGGAAAAACACCATTCAGAAGCAATAGTAATCGATATGTAAAATTGCGATGAAATTAATTATAGATTGCTGATCATTTTGTATTGCTGAGTGGCGGATCAGCAATTAAGAATAAATTTAAAGATATATAATACTTCATCAGAACTCCACTTACTTATAAGATAGATCACCCTAAATTTAAAGTAATAATTATATATAAATTCTTTGCAGATTTTAGTATAAAAAGAAATTGAAATTTTATGTTATATTATTATGAATTTTTTAATTTTTAGCTAAATTAACCAATAGAATTTAAGAAAAAAGTAAGGTAAAAACTATTAATAAAGGGCTAATTTCTACAGTAACTTTTATTATATTAAGTAAATGGGATCTTATTCTATCACTATATTATATTTCTTATATTAATTCAAAAAAGTAAATTTAATGAAAACTATAAATCAAATAAGAACTTAATAACTCTAACAACTTTAACAACCTTATTTTTTAATATAAATATGGGTTCATTTAATAATTATTTAAAAGAAATAAAATAAAATTCAAATTAAGAAATGATCATCTAATTATAAAATTCACAAGTAAATTACTTCCACTAATTATTATAGAAAAAAGTCATTTTATTGATAAATAATTAATATTTTAAAATAATTCATACTTTATAATTTCATTTATATTTAAAATATAAAGTTTCATAAGAGGTAATCTTATCTTTTAATTCTTTTACATGACAAATTGGAAATCTTTAATTCTGATTTTTATTAAAGAGTATTTTATAATTCAAAAGATTTTTTTTTATTGAGAGGTAAAATAAAAAAATATAATTAAGAGAAAATGGACTATAAGAATTAGTGTTCTTCATAAGCCATTTTAAGCTAAGCAAACTTTATTCAAAAGAGCAAACCTTTATCAAATTTTATTAGCTAAAATAATAATTAATTAATTAATAAGACTTGATAAAGTTGAACTTTTTTAAGTAAGACTTAATTGGCTTAAAATAACTCATAAAAAGCATTAATAAAAACTATATAATTAGTAATAATAGTATTATAAAAAAAATTGCAAGCTAAAGCTCTAAATAGTCCGGATTGGTCTGGGTTAGGGAGTAATCTGGGACTGGATTAAAAAATTAGTTCATTTCAGTTTGGTCTGGTTTACATTAAAAAGAGAATCCAAAACCAGACTAGACCGGACCAGTTATTTTGGTCCGGTCCAGTCTGGTCCTATAATAAAAAAATGTTGCGCATTTTTTTTATAATAATATATTAAAAAAAAATGTTTTTGCACTGTTTTTTCATTAAATTAATTAAAAAAATGTTGCAAAAACGTTTTTCTAATTAAAATTACTTTGAAAAAACATTTCGCAACATTTTTTTATTAAATTATTATAGAAATATTGCGATTTGCGAAAACATTTTTTCTATAATAATATATTAAAAAAAAAATGTTTTTGCAACGTTTTTTCATTAAATTATTATAGAAACGTTGCAAAAATGTTTTTCTATAATAATATATTAAAAAAAATGTTTTCGCAACATTTTTTCATTAAATTATTATAGAAACATTGCAAAAACGTTTTTTCTATAATAATATATTTAAAAAAAATGTTTTTACAACATTTTTTCATTATCGCCGTTTTCAAAATGGTATGCGCAGTCAATATGTGATGTGAAAATCGATTCCTGATTGTGAATATCAGAATGATCAACATCACATGATTAAAACAATGAGATCAACCAATTAAAAATTAAAAATTTTAATAATCGAAAAATTTAAACTCGCGTTTTATTCATTTATTTTAAAAAACGCGTCTCAATTTAACAATGACTCATAATGAATACCTCATTGGCACTTGCTTTAGCTGTAAAAAATGTCTCTATTGTGGAGCTGAACTTAGTATTCAGAAAAAAATGTGTTTATGTGATAAAACTATAAAACCACACAAAAATAACCGAACTGATAAAGTAAGAAATGTATTCTCTCGAATTTTAAAACCTGACTTGCCACCCAAACAGCTTGAATATATTCAAGAGAAGATTAATTATTTCAAATATTCCATAAATTTTAACACAGAGTTTAAATTTTCTTTCTACTCTGCCTGCAATAGTGCATTTCAAAGAAAAAAATCTAAAACTGCATTAAAAGCTTCTACTTCACATAATGTGGATATAGAACTTGAAAACAATTTGGAAAATAATATTAGTATTGATTTGGATGAAAAATCAGAAGCAGAACAAATTATTTCATTCAATTTGATGATAAAATCATCTACTGGTCCAACATTGCCATCTAAATGGGTAGAAATAGAAGCATCATCACTAGATGATATTCTTGCATGTGTGCATCAATACGTTGTAAAATTAACTGGTGATAAAGAGATAATGCATTCAGATTACTTAGTATCATATAAACCAGAAAAAGCTGAAGGAGTTGGAACACAATTGATGGACGCACAAGATTATAAAAAATTTCTTTTGGATTACAAAAAATTGTTGGATAAAAAGAAAAATATAGTGATTTTAGTATCTTTAAAAAAGAAAAAGCAGAAGAGAAAGGTAATATTTATATTCAATTGTGTATACAAATAATTATTTTTAATTTTATTTATTTAATAGGAGATTTCAGATTCTGAAGAATCAAATGATGAAGAGGTCAGTGTACATAAAAGGAAAAATGCAGTTCCAAAAGTAGATGATTTTTCTGCAATTTTACAACAAGAAGGGCTTATAATTCATGAATTAAGAGAGCAATACAAGTGTAATCAACATGGTGCGTCATGTTTTGTTGATGATAAAAGATATATAAAGCTTACTGCGATGCATTTTCAGTGCTGGGCTAAGGAAATTGTAATTTTTATTTTTTTTTTATTGTATTATAATACTGATATAAAAATTGATCATCAGATTATTTTTAGATTCGAGGTACTACAGATAATACTCAGGTGCCAAATTTACCAATTTTTTCACGATCTAACAGTGTTAAAGAAAAGCCCAAAGTATCAACACCTATGGTTTCCAATTCAGATCATAATACAGCGCCCATTTTTTTTGCTTTTCCATCACAAATGATTCAATCATTTGTGCAAAATCCAACTACAAGTAGTTTACCAAATAATGTATTATCATTTTCAAGACAACAACCAGTTCCATCTCTTGATGAGTTTTTTGATGAATTGTCAAGTAAAAATGAAGAATTTTTAAGATTTAAAAGTACTTTTGAAGATGAACAAATTACTGTAGATCAAATTTGTGATCTTACCGATGCTGAATTTGATCAACTGGGTATAAATAAAATTGGATGGCGTAAAGCATTTAGAGCTGCAGCACAACGTTACCATCAATAAATATAGCAATATATATAATAAATTTATAAATTTATAATTAGCGTAAAAGTATGTAAAAATATAATAAATTTACAATTATGATGGTATAAAAATTTATTGAAATTGAATAAAGTTCTATTTGCAATCTATATAATTTTATTTACATATAAATTGAATCTTTATAAAATTTTGCAGCCATTTGTGGAGTAATTTGGGAACATGCTATTAAAAGAGGATATTTAGGATTATTACATGTATTAACAAAATCTCTATACTTTTTTAAAAAAGATTTTATAACAGAAAAACAAGATTCAATGGGATTAAAATCAGGAGAATAAGGAGGTAGGAATTCAACACGACCACCAAATGCTTCAATATAATTTATAAGGTCTTCATCATGATGAATTCGTGCATTATCAAGAACAAGAACACTTTGTTCAGCAGGATACGAATTCATTTGAGGCACCTAAATGTAAACAATAAAATTATAAATAATAAAATTAAAAATAATTAAAATAAAAATTATCATTCTTAACATATCACATTTGAAATTACAAATTCTTTAAATTTATCTTTCGTACAACTACCTTCCATTATGTCGACAGCAATAATGCCTTGTAAAGATAAAGCAGGTAATATTGTATATCGAGTTCTACGTACAAATACAGTTTTTTTGGTTGCAAAAGTGTTTTTGAATGAATACCCATATCCACGAGATAGAGTACGGTTATCTTTAGAAGCTTCATCCATAAATATAAGCTGCTCAGGCCTATAATCACGTCCAACCTTTGCAATAAATATACTTCTAAGAAGTTTGTTTCGTTCCTGAGCTGCCCGATGTAACTACAAAACAAATTACAATAAAACAATAAGATATAATAAAAAAAAAATAAATTTATAATAGACTAAAGCTCACTTTTTTCCTACTGATCCCACAGTAAAATAAAGATCTCCAAAGTGTTGCAATAGAAACTAACTTTCCCGTTTGCAACTCAAGTTCCCCTACAAGTTTATCTAAGTATCAATCCACTTTGTCTTTAACTAATTCTCATAAAATCTGAATTGTTAATACAGTTAGTATCAATCTATATTTCAATTTGTTCGTATTTCCTTTTGTTTATAAGCAATACCTTCATTTCGTCATGAGAAAGTGTCTTATGACGTCCTGGTGGTTTCTGCCAAGGATTCACTACTGTACCCCATTTTACATATATTTGTAAAACTTTATTGACAATACTTCTGCTGATATGCAATAATTCAGATATTTTTCTTCGACTATGACCATCATAGTAGAGATAAACAATCCGCCACTTCAAATCTTCACTAAAAGTACGAGCTATAAGTAAAACAAAATGAGAATCTCTTAAATTTGAAAAATCACGTAAAAATCGTGAACTTTGAGCGAAAAAAACTCCAAATAGTATATAATAACTTGGCCTAAAATTTAAGGAGAAGTTGTATATGAACTCTATAATGCAAAAACTGTTCAAGAATCTTAGGAAATCTCTAAAGTAAACGCTTTGTTTATATCATGTTTAAAAATTTTGGGTGGAAATCAGGTTTTTTTTTTAGGTTGATGATCGTCACTGCGCATACTATTTTGAAAATGGCGATAAGTAAAATATAAAAACAAAAATATATTATTTATATTTTATTTAATTTCTTATTGACTATTAATCCTAGAAATGCAATTTTACTACCATTAGATTCATCTTATTGAGATAATTTCAATGAGCTACTATATTTCATTCTTTCTGATCATTGGATCAAAAGTTAGCAAACTGCCTGATTGGTAACAATTTAGTAACCAATTAATACCTGATTTTTCACTTTTTAACTTATATATGTCAAAGAATTTGGGTAACAAGAATCAGGAGAGTAGATCTTTTGAAAAATGGCACACCATTGAAAATCTTAAAATTATTGAAAAAGATCCATGTTTTATTATTCCTTTATTTTTTTATTTTTAGCTTCAGATTTTGTATTGCGGTTGCAGTTGTAGTAAGTCTTTTAGACACTTATAAGACATAAATTAGAAGAAAAGGATTCCCTTTAAGAAATAATATTTTCTAAAAGTGCACTTACTTCCCTAGTCCAGAATTCCAAACTAATAGTATATATATAGTTATTCTATAGTAGACAGGTAGTTTAGTTTTTAATAAATTGGTTTAATAATTTAATTATTTTTTTTTAAAAAATTACATTCAATTCAGAATATAATAATTTGAATTAATATTATTACAATGTATGGAATCAGCCCAAATTATCATAAGTTCTGACCAATATATTTTGTTTTAAATTTGGGCTAGTTTAGGGATTGGAATCGAAAATTGAATCTTTTCAAGATTTTTCTTATAGACGACCAACCTGACTTTGAATCAGTTTTTAATTTTAGCAAAAATAATCAGCACTTGGCCGGCATGAAAAATTACTTTGGAGTCAAGTTAACTTACATGTAAAAAATTCTGAGAATCAATTCTCAAGAATTGATTTTACTATGTTTTGTCGATTTTCGATTAATCGATTCCAATCCCTAGGCTAATTATATGAAAATTATACAATTTCAAATACTTATAACTTTTTATATAAATCTTCTTTAAAAATCTGACTGGTAATTTAATAGAACTTATTTCAAAAAATAAAATTATCAGTTTATTTTTTCTAAATTGTATTTTTTTAAGAAGTTGAAAGATTTTTAAATGTTACATTTTTTATTGGCAAGTATAAACTTCTGGCACTGTAGTATAATAATTATTACCGTATATAGCAGGCCACAGTACCCCGGGTATCTTGCAAAAATCGGGGTTTGACCCTGTACCCCCGGGTACTAAACAAAGCCTAAAAATTCCATTTTTTGCGAATATCTCACGATCTACTAGTCCAATTTGAACGATCTTNAGTGGTTTAGATTTTATTAAATTACTTTATTTAGTTTATTTTCATTTGTATGATATATTATAAACACATTTATTCTAATAAAGATTTAAATATGCTGCAGTAAAAAAAAAAAAAAAGTATTAATAAATGCAGTTTTTGAAAATTTTTTATTACAAATAAAATAAAACATAAAAAATAATGGATTTTAGCAATAAAAATACAGCTACTATTTTATAAAAGTTATATATCAATAAAAATTTTTTTTTAAAAAAAATTACATTCAATTCAGAATATAATAATTTGAATTAATATTATTACAATGTATGGAATCAGCCCAAATTATCATAAGTTCTGACCAATATATTTTGTTTTAAATTTGGGCTAGTTTAGGGATTGGAATCGAAAATTGAATCTTTTCAAGATTTTTCTTATAGACGACCAACCTGACTTTGAATCAGTTTTTAATTTTAGCAAAAATAATCAGCACTTGGCCGGCATGAAAAATTACTTTGGAGTCAAGTTAACTTACATGTAAAAAATTCTGAGAATCAATTCTCAAGAATTGATTTTACTATGTTTTGTCGATTTTCGATTAATCGATTCCAATCCCTAGGCTAATTATATGAAAATTATACAATTTCAAATACTTATAACTTTTTATATAAATCTTCTTTAAAAATCTGACTGGTAATTTAATAGAACTTATTTCAAAAAATAAAATTATCAGTTTATTTTTTCTAAATTGTATTTTTTTAAGAAGTTGAAAGATTTTTAAATGTTACATTTTTTATTGGCAAGTATAAACTTCTGGCACTGTAGTATAATAATTATTACCGTATATAGCAGGCCACAGTACCCCGGGTATCTTGCAAAAATCGGGGTTTGACCCTGTACCCCCGGGTACTAAACAAAGCCTAAAAATTCCATTTTTTGCGAATATCTCACGATCTACTAGTCCAATTTGAACGATCTTTTTTTATTTTGAAGAGCTCAATGAGAGCTATCAAACAAAAAAAAGATGGCTCAAATCTGATCACTAGATCACGAGATAATTGTAAAATATCCCACAAGGTACTATACAATTCTATGAAATTTTTCAAGGGGGGTACTATGCATAGGGGGGTACTATGGCCCACGATATACAGTAAATTTCTTTTTTTAATTATTATAGTTATATAAATATTAAAAGTGTAAAACTTTAAACATATATTTTATGATATCTATATTATAATACATTAAAATTTCAAGTATTATTATTATCTAAAGTATTAGTAAAATACTAGTATTTACTGTACTAAACTAGTAAATTTGGTTTAATCTTCATTTTTATTCTTATTATAATTGATATTTTTTTTTTTTTGAGTATATATTACAATTTATATAACATTACCTATTTGACTCCTAAAATATACCAAATAAATAAATAATATGTAATAAGTTATATAAACATTTGTGAATCATACAATATTAAGAATATAAATGGTTTCCATTTTCTTAGTTATGTATAGTTTTAAGTAATTGACAAAAATAAAATTTCTGCTACTTTTGTCCAAGTGTGTATGTACTTTGTTTGTGGAATTCTAAGTAAATTGCAAAAAATCAGATCTAATAAAAAGTTTTATTAGAAGTATTTGTAAAAATATAGTAAAAATCAGAAAAATTGATTTTGATTTTACATAGTTATATGATCAGATACAACAGTTTTTTCTTAAAAAATGTATATAAAAAAGAATACAATATAGTTTTTCTAATTATTTGAAAACTTCTAGCTTTAAATATAACTGTTATATTGAAATTTATGCTATTTTTTATTAGTTAATTCTAACAAAGTAATTTAGTCTATTAAATTAAGAGATTTGTTTTTAATATTTCCTATTTAAAATCTGAAATGCAGTAGGTATAATTTTCATATACAAAGGTTAAATTTTCATATATATTTTACATAGGTTTATATGAGGACCGGGAAAATTATATAAGAAAATCATTAAATGCGAACCATCTTATGATTGGTCAATTGGCTATTTATTCACTCCAAAAACAGAAAAAGGAAAGATCTCACTCAAATTTTCTTATTCTTGCGAACCAACACGTGACTTTTATTAATTATTTTTACGGTGACCTTTTTGAAAATTATATGTCATTTTTTGATTAACGCGCAGTTAAGGGCTATTTTTAGCTACGGGTGATTTAATCCAACCGAATTGCGGCCACCGGAAAAAAAGGTCCGAAAACATAAAGTAGCTGCGGAATTGTAAACATGTAAACATTAGGTATGAAATCTCCGGAATGTTAAATAATACAAGGATATCGGACAAATAAACGGTGATAAATTTTATTATTTATAAAATGTATCTTTAATACGGCGCTTACCAAATCAAGTCATAATTTGATTGTTGTGCTGCGGATCCGACAGTATTGGACCTTATGACCTACTATCTTGGTATGTGTCATACAACTAAAAACTAAAAATGAGATTTGTTTTCACGGGTATATAAATACAGGTTTAAATTTTCAAATTTATTTGCTAACCCGTTTTTCTTTTTCTTCATTTTTTTCCTCCTAACTTTTATTCCATTTAAAAATAAAAAAGGAGTCAAAAAAGCAGAATATTAGGGACAAATTAATTTGATTGAAGATCGAAAAAAAAATGTCGCAAGGTAACAATTTATTTTATCACATATTAATTATTTTTTTTTTTAATTTAATGATTGATAAAAAAGGTGATGTTTCGCTAACCTTTTTTTTAAAAAAAATTAAACTTTATCAAATAAATCTTCTAGATTATTATGGGCGAAATTCCCGGTTTACAAGTTCTTGGAACGTTGTAAATAATGATTTATATGATGATGACGACAATCGTTATAATCCTTCTTATGCAACTGAAACATGGAGCGTACTAGGTTCTCAAGATGTTAAAGATGATCAACTTTCAAGTTTACCGCAAAATAATCATAGTGGTTTTAATTATGGATCATCCACAGTTTCTACAATACAAGAAGAAAGAAATTCTACACAACCAATACCTGAACCAGAATTTCTTCCATCTATTTCTTCTTCAACAAAAGGGTTTATTGAAACTACCTTTAAATACGAACAACAAAATATCTTCGGCAGATCTAATGAATATGAAGATGAATGTGATGATGAATGTCCTCCTCCGTCAGATTCAGATATACAATCTTTCGACAATAATTCTCAATCTATTGTTAGCAATATCGTATCAACTAATTCGTCTTGGGACTTTGTACGGCGGTATTCGTGTGAGTATCAAACTTATTGAATAAGTTTTTATAATAAAAACAAGAAATTTAATAATTTAATAATTTTTTTCAAACTTTTGTTTTGTAGTTGCTGTTGTTATATTAGTAATTGGTCTTATCATTTATTACGCCAAAGATTTTCCCTTTGTAGAATTTTATAATATTTTTTAGATTTTACTCTTTTAAATATCTATTGAAATTTTCAACCCATTTTTTACTCCTTCATGTAAACTTATTTCTTTATTATATTCTTCTCGTAAAAATAGATATACCCTTATTTCTTCATTTAATGATTTGTTTATATAGATCCATTCTTTCGTTTTTTTTTCTATTTGCTTTATGTGAATAGTTACTCCCCCTTTTTAGTCCCTTTCTATAAATATCTATTTTTTTTTTTTATTATTATTTTTGAAATTAAATAAATTCTTCACTTCATTTTTCCTTTTTATCTATTAATAACGAAGTGCATTCTGTTCCTAATTAACTTGTCCGAAATCAAAATTACTAAACGCATATGATTATTCATTCGCTCATATTTTTTGATATTTACTCCTTTTTCGAGGAAACTCCCCTTAAAAATTTCAATTTACTCCACACCCCTTAAAAGCTGTCATAATTTTTTAATTTAAAAAAATTATTTTCAATTAATCTTTACGATTGAACCCTAAAATGGTCATATAATCGGTATTTACCGAAACTATTACTTTTTAGTAATTTGATTGTAAATAAAAATAAAATTAGTTATATTAAAAATTCACAGTAAAATAAGAATATAGATGATAATTTTTCTTCCCTAGTTCCAAGTATGTTTATTTTTAATTTTTACTATTAATAGACCAAAATACTGTAGCCTTTGCTACGGTGTCTAGTGCTTCATTTTTAAGAATTACTTCGCATTCTTTTTCTGTTTGTCCACTAATTTCTCCCAAGTTAAATTGACTAGTGGCTGTAATTAATCCTATTTACCATTAAATTAATTAATTAAACAATTAAGTAACTATTTTTTTTAATGTTTGAAAATTCGAATATAATTAATACTTACCTCTTGCTTTTTTAAAATACTAATTAAGAAAAATATATGGATATATTAAATTAAATTTATTAACAAAATTTTAAAAAATATTATATTCTTACTAACCTCCATATTAATCCTTGTTACAATTGCTCTATCCTTATCAGTTAACTTACTAAATACTGCCAATCCTCCTATAGTTTCAGCAAATGTACAAAGCGCTGCTGCGTGAATACTATTAAAAGGATTATGGATCCTCTTTTGTTCCTAAAAATCAAAACTTTTATGCTTTAATATACTAATAAACCAATAGAAAAGATATACTGTACATAAAAAAATACCTTTAAAACTCCTGAACAAAATCCTTTATCAAGAGTTGTAATCCGCATGTCTAAAAAATTTTTTTTATGATTATTGATAATAACAAAATCATTGACAATTAAAAAAAATTATTTCACTTACGAATACAAGAAGAAAAAGGATTAGCAAAAGAAAGTAAATAAGAATATATAAAAGGTCTAAACTTTCTTATAATAGGCTTATTTAAAGCATGCCATACTTTAACAGGATCACGTAGAGAAGCTATTTTACGTGATAAAAATATAGCTAAGGGAGCTAATATCATGAGTATGCCGCCTCCTAAAATGCTTAAATCTGTTATATCCATCGTTTAAAAAAAATAAAAAAAAATTGTGTAACTGGAAGCAAATGAAGCAAAGAAAAATTTTCAACAATTTTCAACAAAATAAGATGAATAGGTTTATTATATATATATAGATAGATATAAGGATTTATTGTATATATATAGATTATCGATGCATAATACAGATATTGTGGCATGTTACTAAAATCGTTTGTCAATTGAACCGCAAAACCGCAATAAGCCAATTATATTTTTTGCTGCTCAACCGGCTTGTAAAGACACGCTTAATGTAGGAATCTACGAGCATTTTCCGCTAAATACACTTTTCATATGAATTTTTCACAATATTTTTGGACAAGTTAAATAAACTCTGGGAGGTTGGTTCCAATGGTTAGTCTTGTATTTAATATTTCGCGTAATTCACGAATTAAAACAATATTTTACATTAATATCGCTCCAAAAACTAATTAAATATCTTAGTTGTATTTCAGTATTTATTCATCAAAGTAAAATAATTTCAGCTCCCAAAAAATACTTTCACAAAAATCAAAAGTACTTTGGTAAATTGCCGTTTGAGAGAGAAACAAGAAAGAAATAAGGAAAAAAACGCAATTCCTAAATAAATAATTTTTTAGTAAATCTTTTTTTTTTTATACATGAATTCAATTTCCTACTCATATTTACCTTTGATTGCCAAACTTAATACAAACGTTGAGGCTTACCCATAGTCGATTTGATATATAAACTTCTTACATTTTGCCAATTCTTCTTTAATAGGGAAACTAAGAAATTAATACTCAACATAATATTTGCAACTAATTCATCTTCACTCATTTTAACATGACCCACTGCAACACCAAGACACAAAACTTTTTTAAGTTGAAATTTGATTGTTGATCTCAATTCATCAGCTTTAGCATTCAAATCGTCATTATGAGTTACGGGAGTAGGGAATTTACCCGCTAGATTACGAGAGGGGAAAAAAATAAAATTAAACACAACCTTGGTTTATTAAGCTCGTCTTAATGAAACATACCTTTATGCAAACCAGGCCCTAATAATCTAGGAATTTGTTTAATTAAAGACTCACTAGCTAAAAATGCATCGTATTTTTTAGCGAGTTTCTTAATAAGTTTTTTATTTTTATTAAGTTTTTTAAGATCTTCAACACTCATAAACTCAATTCCAATTTCTTTAGCTCTATCACAATCATGAGCATCTCCGAGAATAGCTACTGACATCTTTGGACGAGGGACATTGGGAAGTCTTGAAAATTATTCAAAAAAAAAAATTAATTAAAATCAAAAGATTTCTTTCTTTCTTTTTTTAATTAATAAATGGATAAAACGGATATAATTATTTGACGTAAGCCTCCCATAAAACTTACTTGACGGTTCCGCTAAAACGTTTATCTCTTTGAGGATCATAATTTTTTAAACCAACTTGTAATTCAATGGTCTCAGTAAACTTACGATTCTTTTCTTGTGATTCTTTTAAAACAGTCCTAATTGACTCTCTCACGGCTGGCACTTGAATTTTACTATTAAAAAGAATTCAAATTATCATTGTTTGTTAAATAAATGTAGATAAAAAAGATATACATTTCTACATACCTCATTATGATGAATTCGATGTACCACTTAAATAAAGTAGATGGAAAGAAGAGGAAGAACTTTTTTTTTTAATCAGTCAAATTTATTTGCAGTGGCTGATGATAGCAACTGAGCCACAGTCAAGCCACACAACCCGTTTTCACATGTCTAATTCCGTAAAATATTTTTAATTTTTTGGCAAAATCTCATTTAAGTTACATAGGAAACAAAAATCTTGGTATTAAGCGAATCAAATGAAATCTTATTTTCAGCACCAACTGGGGTGTTTGCAGACAAAGTTAAATTGTGCATGTTGTACGTATTGTAAGAAAATTCTTACATCCTCTTTCATTGTGATTGATTTGATCTTACGATAACTTTATATGTGGAGATTGGAAGATTACGGAATATTTTAGGCCGAGGAAAATCTGAAAATCTGCGCACGTTTTACAACTGATATTATATAGATAGTCAAAATCTAATCTGAGATAACCATGTTAGAAATAAATACTCCCGTTTTTTTCGGTTTCGTTTTTTTTTCTCTCTCCTTTATTTCATGATTATTGTATTACTTCAAAATAAAAAAAATTATTTTGCGCGTTTTTTTTTTCAAAATCATTTGTTTTACGCGATTTTTGGATGAAGTTATATTAATATAATATTGTAATAATCGTCGAATCGTCACACACAGCCACATTAAATTGACACGATGGCACCTCCACATGCCGAAACAATTACACCTCAAAGTAATTATATTAGCCAAGAAGATTTTGAAAAACGCGTACAAAATGGGCAAATACTTATAATCTATAATAACAAAGTTTATAAATTGAATAAATGGATAAAATATCACCCAGGAGGAGAACTTGCAATCCGTCATATGATTGGTAAAGACGCTACAGACGAGATAAACGTTTTTCATCCTGAATATGTTTTTAAGAAGAAGATTAACACTTTTTATATCGGAGAATATGAAGAAAATACTAACCTGAAAGAAGAAAAATTATCAGAACAAAAGTTAATATCTCAAACTTATCGTAGATATTATTTAAAGCTTCATGAACTAGGATTATACGAATGCAATTATTGGAATTATTTTTATGAAAGTATTCGTTATATTTTCCTGATAATTTCAGCTTGGATATTGGTTATTTATGGAACTCAAGTCTGGCAATATTTGTTAAGTGCATTTTTCCTTGGATTATTTTGGCATCAACTCGCGTTCACAGCTCATGATGCTGGTCATAATGGAATTACTCATAATTTACTTGTAGATAATCTTATTGGAATATTTATTGCAGATTTTATGGGAGGATTAAGTATTGGATGGTGGAAAAGAAATCATTATGTTCATCACATTGTAACAAATGATCCTGAACATGATCCTGATATTCAACATTTACCATTTTTTGCCGTTACAACAAAATTTTTTAATAATTTATATTCAAGTTTTTATAAAAGAACTTTGTATTTTGATACACCAGCAAGATTTTTTGTAAAATTTCAACATTATTTATATTATCCAGTATTGTGTTTTGGTAGATTTAATCTTTATGCATTATCAATTAATTTTTTATTTAATGAAGAAAATGTAGCTTTTCGTAGGTTAGAAATAAGTGGTATGATATTTTTTTGGTGTTGGTATACTTATTTATTATCATTATTACCATCAATATCGACAATTGTATTATATATCCTAATTTCTCATATGGTTACAATGATTTTGCATGTACAAATTACATTATCACATTTTGGAATGTCAACGGAAGATTATGGACCTTTAGAATCTTTTCCAAAAAAGATGTTGCGTACTACAATGGACGTTGATTGTCCTTGGTGGATGGATTGGTTTCATGGTGGTTTGCAATTTCAAGCTATTCATCATTTATTTCCAAGAGTTCCCAGGCATAATCTTAGAGATTGTCAACGTTTAGTTAACGAATTTTGTAAAGAAGTAGGATTAGAATATCATTTATATGGTTTTATTAAAGGAAATGGGATCGTACTTGGAGCTCTTCGTGATGTTGCAAATCAAGCTGAATTATTAAGTAAAGTAGTTAAATCTCATAATGATAAACATTTACATTAGATGATTTCATTCCAACTTTGTTAAAATAATTGTAGTTTGATGATATACATGATATTTAGATTTTATTTAATTATATTTATTTATTTATATTTTTTATTTAATATAGTTTGTAAATTATTTTTCACGAATATGTTCTCCTGTTGCAATTACCTTAATCTGATCACCAACATTAAGGGTCATTCCTAAAGTATATAGAGAAGGAAAAAAAAATTTAGCAACATAAATTTGGATATATCAAGAAATAAGATATAAATTTATTACCGGATTTATTATGTATAACATTCATTCCTATATATATATATATATATATATATTATATATATTATAAAGATCAAAATAAATAATTATCCTTCATATATGAGATAATGATATAATAAAAGCAATTGACGTTAATAGTTACGAAATTTACCGAAACAAGCCTTATACTTTGCACCTGGATCAACTCTACGATAAGATTGTAAAGTCTTTAAAGGGTCCAATCCTTCTTTTATACCAGTTTCAGGATTAACTGTGGTCACTAAAAATTTAAGTGTTTAGCAAAAAAATTATAATCTTTTCCTTATAATTTTTAATATAAATATATTGTATATACATACTGACACAACGAGTACTTCTAGCAACTACAAAAAATAAATTGTCATCTGCATCTTCTCCCATAATGATTTTTTTCCATGTATCTTCTTCAAAAGGTTTATTACATCCTTTTATCACAATATTTGGTCTAAAATTACGAAAAGTAACTGGTAATGATAATCTATTATTAAGATCTGATAGAGATTCTTCACTTATAATTAAAAATGGATAACCATCTGAAAATGCTGTCTTAAAAGAAAGAAAAAAAAAAAAAATTAATAATAAAAGAAATTAGTTAAAGAAATAATCGAAATATATATATAAATAAAAAGTTTTTTTTTTTTTTTTTTTACCTCTGGTTGTTTCAAAAGCTCATTTTTTGGAGGAAGATTTTTTTCAATTATTCTTAAATCTTCAATTGATTTGTGTACAATTTTTGATTCAAAACCTAAATAATCAGATATCCATTTCGATGATTCTTTACCACAATCATATGCCATTATAATTTCATCACATATTGTAACCGAAAGTTTAATCCCATTTCCTTTACTAAAAAAAAAAAAAAATTTCATTATTATAATTTTCATCATCAATTACATATTATTATTATCATTATACAAATTACTTTGGTAATAATGGTAATTTTAATTCTTGATCATTTTCAGGATTTGTTAATATTACTGAACCACCGTTATCATCATCATCATTTTCATGAATTGTGGGTGAAACAAGTGCAAGCTTAAAAAAAAAAAAAAAAAAAAA